CCTGATTTCTCTAACAAAATGGGAAGGAATGGGGCATTAGAGACTACACAAGCCACGGTCCTTACCCAAGAGGCTGCCAGCAGGACCAGAGGGGTCTCTGGTCCTTGGCCTGAACCTCTGCAGGTTTTGTGATCAAGGGGAGGTTTACAAAGCAATGGCAAGATGCCTGCCTATATTAGCAGCTGAACTGGAAGGGTTGTACCCAATTTACTTGCTCCTGCCAGTCCCCTGCCTGTGGTGGGCAGTTTGTAGCTCAGTGACACAGACGCCACCGTTACCTCCGTTCTTCTCCTGCCAGTACTGAGCATCCGTGTAGAAGACGAGGCCGGAGCCTCCTTTCTCCCACTTCAGCTCGATCTCCTCCTCAAAGAGCCGCTCCTCCACGCGCTCCTGCTTCGTCACGTCCTCGTGCAGAGCCTCGTGGCGCTCCCACTCCTCGCAGGTGTCGTTGTCCTGCAAAGGAACCGGCCAGAGGTGGGTGACAGCAGCAGCACAGAGCCTCCTTTCCGCTCCCCCGACCCTCCCGGCCCGCTGCAACGCCTCCCCTACGAAACAGCTTTGTCGACAGAGCTCGTCTCAGCCTGCTGCTTTCAGGCACTGACACGACCGGCGCTGATGACCTCATTCCCCTGACTAATGCCATCTTCAGAGTCAGCAGACAGAAGTGGTGAAAAATACCACATCACACCCACTTCACGGCATGCTTTCAGCAGCGTACCCGCTCCGTAACGCGGAGATGCCCATTTAAGGAGCAGGTGTGTTGTACGTAAAGTCAGCACCAGCAACAAATTAATTCCACTCCAGTCGATCCCGAAGGAGATTTTATCAGTTCCAGAGGAGAAGCTGGCTGGCACCACCACAGATCAGGCTGACAGCTTTATGCTGCCTGCTCAGTTTTGGGCACAGCCCTTCCAGGGAGACATTAACCAGCTAAAGAACGGCCAAAAGAGCAGCTAGAGATCCAGGAAACGAGCCTGTGAGAAACGGCCAGGGGAGCAGAGTTGCTTAGCACAGAGAAGAAAAGACCGAAGGCAGCTGTTGAATAAGAAGCCTGTAAAGGAGGGAACAGAACAAAGTGTTCTCTGTGCCCGCTGTTGCTAGGAGAACCTGATGGAATAAAATTGCAGCAGAGATTTGACATACGAGTTAATTCTAGCACAGAGTGGCGGGACAGCCAGGAACGGGAATGGCTTGCCTCGGGACTGTGCTGCCTCTAATGACACGGGTTTGGGCGAGCAGGCTAGACAGGCTGCTGGGGGGAGCGAGATAGTCTCTGGAGAGCCAGTCCAGCCCAGTTTTCTAGGAGTCTTTGTCAGGAAAGCCATTTTTTTTTTCTGAATGACTAACGTGTACAGCAGGAGCATTCGAGGTCAACCACTCGTGATGCTCTGCGTGTCGCTGCCAGAGCCCTACCGTGCTCCCCACACTCCAGCCACCTCATTTACAAGCAACAGCAGAGCCAGACTGACCGGCCACGCAGCAAGCAGAGGTCCCCTCCTGCAGCAACAGCCACAGCCAGCGCTCACTCCTCTGGACTGAACCCTTCGTGCTGAAACCCAAAAGCAGCTCAGCGTGGACGAGCTGTTTCAGAGGTGTTAACATCTGCACTGCTACGTGCACCAAGGGGCTCAGCACGCCAAGACGTGAAGAGCTACATTTAACATCATTGTCAGACAAGTGATTTATACAACTAAAAGATTAAAAGTGAGCTCTGTGAGTTATATCAGCCCCCTCAGCTTTGCAGGCTGACCTCAGAAAGCACTAGAAAAATCCACTTACGTCATCCGAGTGTGACTCCTCTCCCTCCTTTTCCTGCCCCTCATCTTCCTCAGCGCTGGCTGGATCGGTCGCTTCAGATCTTGCCACAGGCCCCTCGCCCTCCGTGATCTCATCCCCCGCGGCGGTGTAAACTCTTTCTTCTTCTATAACTGTCTCAGTGTCCTGGTATTCAAAAGGCACGTTCCCATACCTCCGGGATGAGCCTGTCTTCGGGAAATCCAGCTGCAACTTCTTGATGACCGGGGGAGGCAGCCTGCAGGCACGGATCAGCTCCAGGAAGACGCTCAGGGGGGTGCCCACGTTCCCGAAGGGCATGCAGGAAGGGGGGTTGAACTCCGGGAGCCGCCTCAAGTCTGCTTCCGCGACGGCTTCGCCTGCGGCCCTCGCGTCCGCCCCGCTGGGAGACGCCTCAGCGGCTGGAAGAGAGAAGGAATTATATTTTTTGGGGGTACCAAACACACACCGTGCACCGGAGAGGGATAAATCAGGGCCTTCCTGGTCAGAAAGAGGGAGAATAGACCCCAAACTGACTCTTCTTGCCCCAAAATTAAATTAAGGAGTTAAAAACCCTCATGAAGAGTTTTCAGCAGCTGACACGGGCTGCTGGGACCCGGAACCGAACTCTTCTTGCCCCATAACAAAATTAAGGAGTTAAAAACCTCCAGAAAAGTTTTTAAGCAGCTGGAAAACGGGCCCAAACGGGTCGGGAGGGGAGAGGAACCGGGGTCCCCCCGGTGCCCGGTCCCCCCGGTGCCCGGTCCTTACCTGTCCCGGGGCCCAGGCGGACCCTGCGCACGACGCAGCGGCCGGGCAGCGAGGCCCCGGCGGGCCCGACCCAGCTCTTGCCCGAGTACATGCGGACGAAGCGGCGGGCGCGGCCGGGCCTCACGGCCACCGGGCAGCAGCAGGTGCTCGGTGCCCCCCCCCCGCCGCCACCGCCGCCATCCGCCGGGCCCCGCTCGGGCCGGTGGCGGTAGTGGAAGCAGAGGAAGCCGCCGGCTTCCAGGAACTGGCTGAAGTAGGAGCGGAGCTGTGCGGAGCGCAGCGCGGCCGGGATGCCGCTCACCAGGCAGTACCGGGCGGCCCCGGCCCCGCTCCCGGCCCCGCCGCCATTACCGGGCCCGCTGCTGGGCGCCGCCATCTTGTGCGCGTTGGGGCGCGCGGTGATGACGTCAGATAGCTGAGGGGAGGGGGAGGGAAGGGAGGGAGGGAGGGCGCCGCCTGGTGGCTGGGGGGGGGGGGGAATGGGGATGGAGTGATGGGTGGGCACTGAGTCATTGAAGCCAGAATGCCCAAATCCCAGAATCCCCAAATCCCAGAATCCCCAAAATCCCAGAAACCCCAAAATACCAGAAACCCCAAATCCCAGAATCCTAAAATCCCAGAATCCCCCAAATCCCAGAATCCCAGAATCCCCCAAATTCCAGAAACCCCAATCCCAGAATCCTAAAATCCCAGAATACTCAAAATCCCAGAATCCCCAAATCCCAGAATCCTAAAATCCCAGAATCCCCCAAATCCCAGAATCCCAGAATCCCCCAAATTCCAGAAACCCCAAATCCCAGAAACCCAGAATCACAGAATCCCAGAATCCCCAAAATCCCAAAATCCCAACATCACAGAATCACAGAATCCAAGAAACCCAGAATCCCCCAAATCCCAGAAACCCCAAGTCCCAGAAACCCAGAATCCCAGCATGGCCAGGGTTTTCAGGGCCCTCTGAAGATCACCCAGTCCAACCCCCTGCCGAGCAGGCTCACCCAGAGCACATTACCCGGGACAGCATCCAGGCAGGTTTTGGAGGCTCCGCAGCCTCTCTGGGCAGCCTGTCCCCGTGCTCTGCCACCTCCCAGTACAGAAATCCCCCCTCACATTCAGCCGGAACCTCCTGGGCTTCAGTTTGTGCTCAGTTGCCTCTCATCCTGTCACTGGGCACAACCGAAAAGGGACCAGCTCCATCCTCTCGACACCCTGCCCTCAGATATTTGTACCCACTGATGAGCTCTCCCCTCAGCCTTCTCTTTTCCAGGCTAAACGGGCCCAGTTCTCTCAGCCCGTCCCCATATGACAGGTGCTCCAGTCCTCTCATCATCAATGGAAATTAAGAACATCAAACATCTGGTTCCTTAGTTATTAAACCCTCTTTATTATTTGAATAAAATATATTTAATATGAACTCACAGAAGAGAATCCCTTAGTAAACTGATGACAACCATGTAAAGTTTTCTTAATTAGCTTCTGGTTATCTTACTGGGTGCTGAGGGCACTGGGATGTGGTGCTTGGAGACAGGGTCAGTGGGTGACGGTAGGGGGTGGGTGGGCCTGGTGAGCTTGGAGGGCTTTCCTAACCCTAATAATTCTAGGATTCTCTGTGTCATGGGCAGGGACATGAGGTACCGCCTGGGGCTGGTTCCACCATGCAGGTGGACCTGTGGGGATCCCATCCCCAGGAGCTGCTGGGACCAGAGGGGCTGGGGGCTCTTCCCTGTTCCGAAATGTTTGCCTCGGTGTCACCGTGGCGATGGGGCTGTTCGGCACCCAGCACACCGTGACTCACGCACACGTCACCGCTGTGTGGCTCACGGTGCCCGTGGCTGGCGTGGGCCTGCGGAAATCATCCGGTGACTCACACGCTCCTTCCCCGTGGAAAACGGCTGTCAGGGGCTGAGATCACCTTGGAAGGAGCCTGTCACCCTGCTGCAGCTGGGGGGAGAGCTGGGGGACAGACGGACAAAGGAGTCCGTCCTCCAATGGGGCTGCTGGTTAAAATTTGAGGGGTTTCAGTGGGTAAAAGGGGACGGGGAGGCCTCGTGGGGCTTTACCAAGCACGGCAAACGTGGTGGTCGCGGTGCCTGGTGGCACCTCCTGCACATCTAGCTGAGTCAGCACCCAGCAGCAGCCTGGCAGGGAGCCCTCTGGGCGAGGCTGCGCGGGTGAAGGAAGGCACAGCAGTGTGGACAGGCCACGCTTCTGCTGCCTCTGCAAGTTTCTCTCTGCCGGGCGCTCAGGAGATTGCGAGCCACGGGGATGTGAATCAGCTCCCCTGTCCACATCACAACGCTCCCCTGCGATGATGAGGCAGGAGGATTTTTATGGAGAGCCTCTAGGGAAAGTCTCTGTCACTGTTTGCTCTAGTGTCTTTCCCACGCCAGGCCCGCAGCCAGTATTTCTGGAAATTTAGAACCCCCAAAATTTGACACCATCTTTGAAAGTCAACGCCATTTTCCAAAGTGTAAAACATTTTATTAAAAAAATAATTTACTGTATCTTATATACAAACCACGAGAATGTTCACTTATAAAATACTGACATCCGACTTGTTGCAAAAGCTGCAGACAGGAGGAGCGAGCTTTCCAGACACGCTACATGTACGACCTGCTCTAACTCAAGACAGGGATGTTTTCTTCTGCCACTAAGTCAGTTCTGCCTGTTTCTGCAGCGTTACAGCTCAGTGAGTTTCTTCCTGTCACAGAAATGGAGGTAAAACCACAGCCCGAGCCACTCAATTTTTCTAAAATCCCACTGAAGACAGAGTACTCAGCACACCTAAGTACTGCACAACCAAGCTGTTACGGGCTTTCAGCTGAGGCTAAACCTCATCTCTTGGAGTTAGCAGCAAAATACACATGGATTTCAGTGGGACCAGGGATTCACTGAGCAAAAACCTGGACAGGCCTCTAACCCCATCTGCTCTGTGTCACAGAGTTTACTGGCAGCTACTTATCATCAGCTACAGGCCAGGGAAAGTCACATACACGCGCGCTCCCTGAAGCTGAGACTGGCACAGGTGGAGCAGGAGCTGCCATAAACATCTGCCGACTCCAAGTTGTTTTCCTGTGTGCTCTGCGAAGCCTCGCTGAGTCCTACAGCCTCATCCTAGCGACAGGCACACGCACGGCCAGTTCTCTGCAGAGTCCAGGCACCCAGCCTGCTAAATCCCCACTCCCTGGGTCTCTCTGCTCCCTGTGAGGTGTTGGGGAGCATCCACGAGGCCGGCAGCTGAATGCAGCAGCTCAGAGCGCCATGCGTGGCGTGGGAGCCAGCTGCCTGCTGGTGATTTCGTACAGCATTTCCGCGATGAGCTCAACGATGTCTGCGTTGCCGATGATGGGCCGGAAGAAGAGGTCTGTGATAAGGGCAGGAGGGATGGATTTCAAGGTGGAGGCAATCAGCAAAATGCGGGCAAAGCGGCCCTGGTCCTCAGGGTGCAGGGGCCGCAGGACCTCCTGAAGTGCTCGCTGGGCTTCCCGCTGGAGGCTCTCGATGTACAGGGAGGCTCTCAGCCCTGGGACATCTGCCAAGAGAAAGGAGGAAAAGCCGATGAAGAGGGAGGCTGGAAAACAGCTCCAGGTTTCTCCCATTCCCTTCCCCTGCATCTCAGAGGGAGTCTCTGAGAGCCACACTAACGAGATGTACACAGCAGTGCTGAGATGTGGCTATTTCAGGGCTGCTGTTTTGAAGGAGCCAAAACAGTTAACAGGGCAAACAAGCCCCACAGAGTACGTACGGGGCTCTTTGTTGTTTGCAGAGCGACAAGGTCTGTGTTTTTAATGCTATATTTAACAGCCCTCCTTCCCGCTTCCCAGCTGCCAGCTGCATTATCGGTGCTAACGATAAGGCAAGCAGCCCTCTCTGCTCTCACGCACGCTCCTGCCCGTCCTCCAAGCCCAGAAATATGTTTTTAGATGCTAACACGTGTGGGGCCTTCTCTTGCTACCAGCAGGCAGGGCTCAGAGGGTTGAGCACTCACCGGGATTAAAGAGAATGGCTCCCTTCAGGTAGGCATATTCCTTGGGGCTCAGGTCCAGGCTCCAGAAGGTGTTGAGGCAGCACTGCAGCCGCTGCACGGCGGCCAGCGTGGGCTGCGTCCGCTCGGGCTCCTGCCGTTTGCTTTGGCCATCGAGGAGGATCTTCTTGAGCATGCTGGGGGCCGGGGTCTCCATCACCTCAAACGTCACCATCTCCTGCGCCAGCCCCAGGAGGAAGAGGGGGACCCAGCAGCTGTCCAGCAGCAGGAGCTGGTCCCCTCGTGGCAGCAGGTGGAAGGAAGGGAGGTTTTTCATGAAGCTGACGGTTTTCACCAGCACGTCGGAGGCAGCCTGGCAGGTGACGTGGGGTGTCCGGAGGCACACCGTCCGGCGCTGGTGGCACAGGCAGCGCTGGTGGGCCGGGCTGCAGCTGCCCCGGCTGTGGTTCAGGTTTTGGCTGAGGAGGGTGTAAAGGATGGCGGTGCGGTTGTCCTCCTGCTGGCACTGACACCTCTCGCAGTCCATGTCCACGCTGCTGCTCGTCATGGCTGAGCTGGGAGCCCGGATCCTCCGTGCAACTCAGCTCCTGCTGCAGCAGATGTGAGAGACCCGTAAACTTCCTCCCTGCCTCAGCCTGGAAACACCCTGTCCTCCCCGCTCTGCCAGCACATGGCCGCTCAAACCAGCTCTTATAAGGCTCGCTCGCAAGTGAAACACCCCCTTCCCAGCCTTGACCGCTCTGTGATTAAGCGGTCCTCATTAAAAAAAAAAAAAAAAAGCAGCCGTCCCCTGACTGATTGGCTGAGGCCAGCAAGTTCTCGGCGTGGCGTCAATGGCCGTTTTCTCAATGAAGAGCCAGCAGCTGCCGCAGGGGGGGACGGGGCAGCGCGGGTTGGGCGGCCTTATCGCGATTACCCAAACAGTATAAACAAAGTCATTAACCCGGGCTGTACCATGGCACCAAGGCCCCGCACTGCAATCAAGCGACACTATATGGCAGGTGTCACTGCCAAGGAGTTCACACACACACACACACACGGCACCCGTCTGGAGCGAGGGCCCTGTGGCAAACGGCCTGTGTGCTCTGGCCTTGGAAAGAGCAACCTGGAAGTCGTTTTATCAGCAGATGTTTGCCTAACCTTGTTGACAGGAGCCTCGCTGCTCTTACAGTTAAGGAAGCGGGTGAACCAAACGACTCATCCCCAGGCAGGCCCCGTGTGTCACAAGCAAAATGCTGGGCAGGGGCGGGACGGGTTTATAGATTTTCACCTTGAATTGCTCAGGTATTTGTATCTGCTGATCAGGAGCTGGTTTAGGCAAGGGGCAGTGTCTGAATACTGATTTCGGGAGGCTTGCTGGGGAATCCCCCGGGCAGCAGGAGCCTGCAGGCAAGGCAGGACCCCACGTGTCACAGGGGAAATATGGGCAGGGGAGGGCCAGGCTGGTGAATTTTCACCTTCAATTCTCAGCTATCACAGAATCACAGAACGTGAGGGACTGGAAGGGACCTTGAAAGATCAGCTAGTCCAATCCCCCTGCCGGAGCAGGAACACCTAGATCAGGTCATCCAGGAACGCGTCCAGGCGGGTTTGGAATGTCTCCAGAGAAGGAGGCTCCACAACCCCCCCTGGGCAGCCTGTCCCAGCGTTGTGGCACCCTGTGAACCTCCTGTGTTCCAGCCTGCACCCTCTGCCCTCTGTCCTTTCATCAGATGTCAGTTATTAGGTGCCAAGCTGGGTTTGTACGTGGTACCAGCACAACTTGGTTTAGGGGAGGGGCAGCATCCAAACACCGATTTCAGGGGGGCTGCTGAGGAATCCCCCGGGCAGCAGGAGCCTGTGTGCAGCACAGCTCGCCCTGACGGGGACAACCCTCCCCGAGCACCCCCAGATTTGGGGGGCGCACACAGGGGGGGATCACACACATGGGGGACACCCACAGAGGCCTGCGGGGCCTGCTGGACCCGTCCCCACGCAGTCTGCAGGCCCCTGCCCCTGGGTGCGTGGCCCCGGGAAGGGGGCGGCGGGGGCGGCTCGGGGCCAACCGGGGCTGGGGGGAGGGAATCAGGGCCTGGCCCCCCGAGGCCTCCCCAGGCCCCACGGAGCCTTCTGGAAAGGCCCAGGCCTCTCCGTTGCCATGGCAACCGCGCCCGCTCCTTTCCTCCCGCCCCCCTCAGCGCTCGGCGACCAATCCGCGAAGGGAACGGCGGAGCCGCGCGCTGCGATTGGCGGGTTGGAGAGGCGAACGCGGGGCGAGCTTCCGCTCTCTCACCTTCCGCTTCCGGCGGGCGACGGCGTGAGGGGGCTGAGGCGGCGGCGGCGGCGGCAGGGTCAAGATGGGGCTGAGCGCGGAGGAGGCGGCGGAGCAGGAGGATCGCTTCGACGGCATGCTCCTGGCCATGGCCCAGCAGCACCAGGGCGGCGTGCGCGAGGTAGCGCCGCCGGGCCCGGCGGAGGCTTCGCCGAGCTCCTCCGGGGGTAACGGGGATGGGCAGGCGGCGGCGGCCCTCAGAGGAGGAGGAAAGGGCCCGGGGGGGGGCCCCGCGCAGTCCCCCGCGCAGCCCCTTGGGTTCCCTCCCCCGCCGCCGCCACGGAGCGAGGGGTCCCCGTGTGCGGCCTCCCCACGCTGGGGGTTCTCGGCCTTGGCGGCTCCACGCGTGGGGCTCGGCCCCGGGCCCGGGAGAGGCACGGGAGGACGGAGCCGCCCCGGCCCAGTTTTGCGGTCCCTCGAGCCGCCCCCCGTGGGTTGTGGCCGCCGCCAGGTGCCGTTAAACGAGGCCGCGGCTCCTCCCCTCCTCCTCCTCCTCATGGGGCGCTGCGGGGGCCTCCTGCTCCTCCTCGTGGGGAGCTGACCTGCAAGGAGGGGTGTGTGGGAACAAGCCCTGCACCCAAACGTGGGAAATGGTGCCAAACACAGCTCCTCCTGCCCTTGGGGAGCTTCAGGGTGAAATACTGACAAGACATAACTCCTTGGGGGGGGGAAAAAAATAAATCCACTGAGAGTCAAACCCATTTCCATGGGGGTATTTTGGGGTGGCAGTTCATAACTGCTAATTCACCAGCAACATCTGGCAGGCAGCGAGACAGTCAGAAGTAAAAAGCTGAAACTTTTGGAAATAAACAGGACACAGCTGGGGGGTGGCTTGCACACTTGGAGAGCAGAGGCAAGGAGAGAAGCAGAATACAGACAATATGTGAGCATCTGTATACGTTCATTTGTGTGTGTAGTATATATATATATATATATATATATATATAAAAGTCCATATGCATACCCAAAGTTTCTGCATCAGAGAAATCTGAGTAACAGTTTGGGATGGCAAAGTAGATGCATCTCCAAGGTGACCTGAGAATAAACTGGTTGCCCTCTCTTAATGTGAAGCACACGCAGGCCTCAGAAACATGGGATCCAGGAGCTGGCTGTCCATAAAAGCCCTTGGCTGTTGTCTCTGGGAAACAGTCACAGGGTTTCAGCATGGTCCTGATGCAGACAGAGATAGGAAGGGCACAATAAAGGCTGCTCAAGAGACACAAGGTGCCTTGGAGTGATCTGGTCTCACTGCTCTTTTTTTCTCTCTTCACCCCTTCTCTTCCCCTCCCTTTCCCCATTCCCTCTCTACCAGCTTGTGAACACGTTCTTTAGTTTCCTGAGGCGTAAAACAGATTTCTTCACTGGTGGAGAAGATGGCGTAGCAGAGAAGGTAAAAAAAAAAAACAAAACAACAAAATCCACGCTTTTTTTGTCTTATTTATGTGCCATGTCTGTGCCATGCTAAGGCTTCCCTTTCTGAAGGCCCCAAAGCCCTTTAATGCACTCAGGGACGGGCAGCCTGTGATGCTGATGAAACACACCACAAAACAAAGCAATAACGAGCCGCCCCGATGTGAGGTGAGGCAGGATTGCTTGTCCCAGCGATACCGTTGGTGCAGTTTTTTTTTTTTTTTTTTGCCACGCTGTGGCCAAAGGCTTGTTTGGAAAGCAAATCTGCCAGACACACTGACTTAACGGTGACAGACACTGCAGGAGCGATAACCCCAGGTTACCTTGTTTGTTCACCTCAGAGAAAGCACAAAGTCCACGTCTCTGCACATGCGGCTGCACCTCTGTCTCCAGGCTGTGGTACCTGCCTGGACTGAGTGATCCCAGGGCTCTGAGCTGCCTCGCTGGCAGGCAGAGTGTTCCAGCAGGAGTTAGGCAGGCTCTCTGGAGGTTTCTTGGTTGTACTCACCCGTGTGGTGGCTGTTCCCATCTCATTTAGCACGTGAGCTGCTTTGCAACGCTTGGCTGGAGGCTGTGGTGCCCCTCGTCTGCCCGCCTGGCTTCGAGGCTGCGGGTGGTTACCGCAGAGCTTACAGGGGAGCTGATGGGGGAGGGTCTGGTGCCTCTAGATCCCAGGCAGTAGGGAATTGAGGACAAAATCTGGAGTGCTTGTCTTCTCTAAGGGCTTTCTGGTTTACTGGAAGTCCCTGTGAACAAAGCAGGCACTGCTGCCATGGTGAACGCATTATGGAAGGCATTAATTGCTAACACAGGGCAGTGTGTGTGCTCTCTAGTCCCTGGAGTGGCTAAGTGAGGCAGGTAAGGGAAAGGAGATGGTTCCAAAGGAAGAATGAGGTGAAGTCTCCTGCTGTTTTCCTTAGACTATGAGAAATCTCCCAAATTCCTGGGGTCTCTGCTCCCTGGGACTGAAACTGAGCAGCAGCTTGGAGATAAGCACTGGCTGGTGCTTCTGGAGCTCCTGGCTACTGCGGTATCTGTTAAAATGCTTTATGCTCTTCTGAAAAGATGCTCAGCACAAGGGGTCTGTGACACCATAGCAACACCACAAGTTGCAGAAGCTGCTTCCCTAGTCCTGCTGGTCCTTTGGCATTAAAGACGAAGAGGGGAGGGTGGGAAAGTCACTGTCTTTTACGCAGCCCTTGTGTAGAGCGAGGGGATGTGATGGCAGTTGAGAGAAATGCAGCACGCACACTTACAGGCTCAGGCTGTGTAAATATCCTCACTCCCTGGCTTGTTGTGCTGTTAGGAACAGGAGCTGGGAGATGCACGTCTTGAATTCTGTGTCCTAGGAAACGCTGGGCTCGGGTTGCGTAAATAAATCTCACTTTGCCCTTTAAAAACAAAGCAGGAATAGTTGGCGGTTGGTTACAGAAGCGCACGAGGCCTGGGTGCTTTGAGCTGCTCTGGAGAGGTGCTGATTCCTTGCGGGGTTTCTGGGATATACATAAATACCTGGAACCCCTGTCTGAAAACACGCCGATTATTTCCTCAGATTGTCTGCACTGTTTTCTGGAGCACACAGCAGCTCTCATACGTGCTGCTCTGCACAGTATTCCCTGGCATTATTGACCACGAGGCAGTTGCTCTGGCTTTCTGCCTGTGTACTCAGCTTTCCCCCTGAGCAGTACAGCCATTTGCATCAGAGACCTTGGGATTTTGCTTTTCAGTCACAACAACAAGAGCAGTTGTAGTTAGGTTTGGAGCAAAGATTTTTGGAGGAACTTGACCCTCGGGAAAATGATAAGCGTCCCAATTTTTTCTCCTCGTAACACTGGTGTTAAACTGCAATGCCTATTGATTTCTGCTTGCTGCCCTTTGCTCTTGCAGTAGTAGCAACCTTTCCAGGAGCTTTAGAATTTCTTCATTGAAAAAGTTTCGTAATATAGATATTAATAAGAGAGGAACCTCCATCTAGTGCCTGGGGAAAGCTCGGTTGTGG